AGGAGAAATTGGGATTGCAGTCATGAAGTGAGGACCGAGAGGTCCCTGCTGCATGAGTAGGGGGACATTTTCCGCGCCTGGGCTCTGGTGGTGGAGTTCACCCTGGCAGCAGGCAGCTCCTGGGGGCAGGGAGCAATCTCCCGCTCCATTGGTGACACGTAGGGGGTGCACGTGGGTACATGTGCACCCCGAGCTTGGCGGTGCATCCCCTGCAAAAAGCGCTGCCAACACTGCCAGTGGTGCCTGCAGGCAGTCTCTGCTTGCCACCTCTCCCCCCATGCTGCTGCTGACACTAGCAGTGGCATCTGCAGGTGGTCCACAATCACTGCTGGTCACTGCCGACACTACCAGTGGCATCTGCAGGTGGTTGCCAACCGCTGGTTGGTGCTCACCACCACCTCCCCTCCTCCCCGCCCCCCGCCAACACTGCCGTGGCTGCCTGCGAGACCTCCCCACTCACCACCGCCACCACCGCCATTGCCACCTGCAGGCAGTCACCACTTCCCCCCCAGCCTCCCAGGGGCACGCGGCACTCATGTCTCGGCCCCCTGCTGCCCAGTTGACCAGGAGCACATTTGCTCCTGGTCAGCTGTCTGCACATGTGTTACTGCACAATAAGTAATCGGGAGTAAATTTGCTACAAGTATTTACAGGTAGCAAATTTACTCACAATTAGAGCAAATTACTGCACAGTAAGCATCTGCACGTGTAGATGGTGACACTTACTGTGCAGTAATTTGCTCTAATTTCAAGTAAAGCGTTTCATGTAGATGTCCGCAGTAAGTACAAAATGAGTAGTGAGAGGAAAGAGTTGGCCCTTTATTCAGTGAAGAAAGCTGAAATATCTCATTCTTCTTTTGATTTAGTTTTCACTAAAAAAGTTAGAATTACTTTGAAATTGTGGACTTCTATTTGAACTCTCTGGCCATGACCATGTGAGCGTGGACATTTGTTTCCCTGGGGACCTTGTCCCTAGGGAACGCCTGTGCCATGTGCCCTCTGGTATGCAGCAGGTTACCCTGGGTAGGGTAAGGGAGAGGCATCCTGGGGTATTGGGGGGCTGCAGCTGTAGTGATCCTGCTGCTCGGAGCCTGGATGGCAGCCAGAGCATGGCTCTAGCCAGCCAGGCTCTGTTTTGGGGCAGTGCGTACTGCCCATGTGTGCCGCCGCACTTTTTTTTTTTTAACAGCCTCTTGACTTGAAGAGTTATTTCTTTTTTCCTCTCCCAAATATCCTCAGTTAAATTTGTTCCTTTTCAAAGCAGAGCAGGACTGCAGTTAAACTGTATTAAAATATGAATGTCTCTATCAGAGATGCTCCCTAGAGTATGTGGGTTGAGTGATTGTATTTAGGTGGGGTTTTTATTTATTTATTTTTTAAACCCCTGGAGGCAACGGTGTACCTGTCTTTTCAGTGTTCCCTCAAATTTTGCTCTGCCTGTAACTTCACCCTGCTCGTGCTGTCCCAGTCTGGTAATGCTGTGACCCATGCAGCATTTATTTTCTGATTGGCATCTCTGGTCATTTAACCATGGTGATCGGACACAAGCACCCCGCCTGATAGCAGCCTGGGAAGGCAGAAGGCAGGGCAGGGTGTCAGGTAGGTAGCCATCTGAAGTCGAGCAGAATGCAGGGCCGGATGGGACCTTAGAGACTAACTTGTACCAAGATGCATAAGCTTCAGAGGTGCCTGCCTCCTTCATCAGATGCTATGAAGCTTATGCCTCTCTGGATGAGTTAATCTCTCTAAGGTTCCACCCTGCCTTGCTGCCACTTTCAGAGACAGAAGCTTCATAGCATTGAATAAAGGAGATGATTTTGCTCTGAAGCTTCCCTCTTGGAACAAGTTAGTCTCCTAAGGTGGGTCCCTTTGCCTGACTACAGACTACCATGGCTAACTTCCTGTCTCTAACCTGGAAGGCTGTACATTAAGGGTACAACTACTTTCCCCACTTGGAATAAAACAGCCCAAGAAAAGAGTTATTGGCTTCCAGCTAACAGAACTGTAACCTAACTGAGAGAGTTTCACCAGGACATTGGGTGTAAAATGGATCTCCAAATGGAGAAGAGAAGTGGCAGCAATATCCTTCTGTGTTCTCTGTACATAAGAATTGTTGAAGTTCAGTTTGCTGTTTGTGGAGAAGCCAGCAGTTTGTACACTTTCTATTTTTAAAACCAGTTGCTGTGTGCTTAAGGAGAGCTATCACAGGGGATAACTTAGCAAATACTGAAATTTGTTCTGGATACTAGAGGTCAAGCTATTTTTAGGTGTAGACTTAATTGAGAAATGTATTACCTTCCTGGAAGGGATTAATTATTTGGCACTAGCAGCAATTTGTAGAAGCTCCAAGTGAAAACTTGCATCTTTTCCAATTAGTTTCACAGATAAAATTTGTTCTGTGTTTTTCTGGTTGTTTTTAAATAAAAATCATTCCAAAGAGCCTCCTTTAATCTTGGTGAGTCATTGAAACGCAGATAAACTGCATTCCTCTGATGCTGTGCATAGAGGTTCCCAGTGCCATAAGCAGTCCTGCCCCAGCACTGCTACTTTTGGAGAATTGTTCTTGATAAAATTCTTCCAAATAAAGGATCTTAACTGTTTCAGTTACTGGCTTTACTTTGTTTCAAGAACAATCTAATCTGAAATGAATTTAGCTCTGGTTTACCTGGATACATCCGTATTTAAAAGTGAGCTTAAGGGTTCCAATATGCTGTGCTAAGCTGAATGCAAGTACCTGTCTTGAAAATTGTACCCTGTGTCTGTATGTCTTATTTTTTTTCCCACCACACTAGAGAAACCCTCAGTACTTTCCTAAGTTTAAGTCTTTCCCCTGTCCACCTTGCACAGGGCTTGGAAACTTTCCTTTTAGAGGTAATAGCAAGAGAGCAAAACCCTTTAGCTATAGTTGAATGACGTGGGTAGTTTGCTACCCCCCTCACTGTCCAACTGGGGAGAATGGAGAAGGTACAGGAATCCCTACTGGGGCCTTCTTCATGGGTCATACTGTGAACATACTTGCTGCTTTCACATCAAATTGAAAATAGTGGGTATTAGTGGGGCTCTGTCAGGTTACCAGCATACTCTAGTCACCTTCCCCCTTCTATTCCAGAGCCCCTGGGAGGCTGCAGGTCACCTGCAAAAGCGGGGAGAGCTTGTGCCACCACAGATGTAAACCCCCTTCCAAATAAGTTTGCCATTTGGATCTTACAGTGAAGCATCTGAATTTTTTGTAAGCAGTAGAACTTGAGAAGTACACAAACATGAACTAAAAGTGGCACAGGAGGAAGATGTTCTGCTGAGACCAAGAAAATAACTTCTGTTTTTTTCCTCTTCCATGGCTAGATTGAGAGACGTCTTGACACAGTGAGGTCTGTTTGCCATCTTACGCAGAAACGATTAATAGGATGCTTTCAAGGCCAGCATGGTACAGATGCTGATAAGAGACATGTAAGTACAACAGGTCTTCAGATAGCATTCTGAGTCTGGTCTGTAAAAGCCTTTTCTGTGCTGATTGGATGGTATGCCCAGCATCAGCTAATGGAACAAAATTGCAGTCAACCCACGTGTTGACATTTCTAACAAAGTAGAATGTCTGCCACAGTTCACGATCTAGCTTGGATAGCATAGCTGTTTTGTAAAGTGCCCCAGGGTGCTTCCTCTGTTCTCTGTGAACAGTACATCCAGGGGGTATGATCAGAGGGATGGGGCAGTTGCTGTCCCAGCAAGACTAAAAAGGCCAAGGCTCTTCAGTTTGGAAAGAAGGCTGAGAGAGGTATATAAAAACATGAAGGGTGTGGACAAAGTGAACAGGGACCTATTCTTCAGCCAGTCCCAGAACACTAGAACCACAGGGCACCCACTGAAATCAGTAGGAGGCATGATTAAAACTAACAAAAGAAAGTACTTTATGCAGCACATAGTTAACGCATGGAACTCATTGCCACAGGAGGTTGTAGAGGCTGATATAGCCAGGTTTGGAATGGGACTACATAAATTCATGGATAATAGGTTTATTAATGACTGTCAAATGGAACAGTTGGAGATGTTCTGGCATCTCTAAACCAATGATGGTGGATACTGGGGAGGGTAATGAATAGAGGATACATCGCACTAGATGAAGCCTGTTTAGAGCTTTCCTTCTAAAAACATCAGGCTGCTGGGCTAGATGGACCGGACCATTGGTCTGATCCAGTCTGGCACTTCCTATGTTTTTAGGGTCACTGGGGATGAGCATCTGATGGGCGGGCAAGCTTCTCATAATAAGTGTCAAGCAACAGGTTTTGGATTGTCTTGTACTTGCAACACTATTGGCCAGTTTTCTTTGAGCTGCTTGTTCTGTATAGATCAGGTAAAAAGGGGGCATTTCAATAGAGTCACTGAGAGCAACTGTGCCATGTGCTCAGTGTTCAGATCTGAATCTGTTGGTGTGAGATTTTTTTTAAGAAGTTTCACTTGACTTTCACAAACTGTGTACGCTTAAATGCTTTTAACCAATGATGATGTGCTAGTGGTAAATCTTGCCAACTGATATAGTCAGCCTTCTCCTGAGAACCTTGGAAAAAGGTGGCTTAGCATTGGAGCTGGTCTTTCACCATAGGCATATGGCACCCAAATGGTAGCAGAAAATAGCAGGTGTCACTTTTTAAGGCCATCCAGATCAGCACCTGGTTTTGGGGACTGGACTTTATAAGAGCTAAGGAAAAAAAATAGTTCAGTAGAAAGTACAGGAAAAAGAACTTTTTAGAAGAGGTATATTAGAACAGCATGTAAGGGGAGGAGGCAAAATACTTATCTCTCTTCTGCTCTACAGAAAAAACTTCCTTTAACGGCTCTTGCTCAGAATATGCAAGAAGGGTCTGTCCAGCTAGCTGATGAAACTCTGCTGGGGTAAGTGTCTGGTTCTCGATGAAGCTGTGATGCATCACTGATTTGGAGTTTTCTGGTAATAGAGTTTTTAAGTATTGGAAAGCTCTCTTAAAATAAAAGATAACATTTAATTTAGTTTAAGTACTGCATTCTGAAGACTAAGCTCATAGTGTTTAGCTTAGTACTGTACTCTCTTGTCCTAGGAAAACACACACTTGTAGCATTCTCAATTTTTTTAATTTTGTATTCTTTAGTCTGAGATCTATAGTAATTCAGACTGTACAGTGACTTCCTATGCTCTCTTCTTTTACACAGGAAAATGCTGGATACTTGTGGTGAAGCAGAGAATAAACTAGCAATAGAGCTTTCTCACCATGAGGTACAAATTGAAAAAGAAATCTTGGAACCACTGTTCCAACTCACAGAGGTAGGTTGCTTCAGCCCACTTCAGCAAATAAACGTGACTTCATTTTACCGAACAAAGTAAGGTAGATATGGTGTGGACTGGCTTGTTTGAAAAGATAAGAAACAACTTGTTAACATAACATAGGATTGAAATAACTTAATTTTTTTTAGTGTTTAAATGAAAATAAACAGTGAATGTCTGGTTTCAGGGAGAAATTCCCAACATTCAGAAGCTGAGGAAGCAGCTTGCAAAGCTGGTGTTGGACTGGGATTCTGCTAGAGCCAGGTAAGAAATGACTTCAACTACTGGTAAATCGCATCGTAAGTGTTGATTTTACAGTGAAGTCTTCTCATTCCTGACATTCCTCTGGTGTTTGCGTCTAATTCACTGTTGTATACATGTGAACACTTAGAGGAAAATTAGCTAAACCTAAAGCTTCAAGCTGTACAAAAAAGACATGACTTTTTGCACTATATAGGTCAGGTTCTTGAATCTTGGGTAGTCACCTCCCAGCATAGATAGGAAAAAAATAGTGATTCTTAAGTCTACTCTGTCTAATGTAGTGAGAGACGGTCAGTTACATTTTTATTAATAAACCTAGCATAATCTCCACAGAATAACTGAAGCCTCTCTTCTGCAGGTATAACCAAGTCCACAAGACTTCAGGAACTAATTTTCAAGTGCATCCCTCAAAAATTGATTCCCTTAAGGAAGAGATGGATGAGGCTGGAAACAAAGTAGAGCAGTGCAAGGTATGGGTTAATCTGCAAAATCTCTCCTTGGTTATACCTGTCATTTAGCAACACATTTGTTACATTTGATCCCTAAACTCCTTTCTTGGCACTATCTTCACAAACTGTAAGCGGTGGTAATTATCATAAAGCAATACATCTTTAAGAGTTACATCAAGTCAAGTGAGTCATTTTCTATATCCCTTTAGCTTAAAGAAAATGTTTATTTCTGAGGTCAGAGGTATTTTACCATTCTTCCATAGGTCAGGTGTGGTGTAGTCCATTCAATAAGTAAAATGTTGCCCCAAGCTGTCTTCCCAAAAATGAACTTGATTTTGGTGATCTGTTGACTTTTGGATCTGTCAGACTGACCAGTAGAGATGGGCTGGTGTTTCTATTACAGCTTCTAGGTTTGGGCTGTGGTGTCCAATGCATGCACACGCAGCTGTTGCATATCCATCAGATGCCAACTACTAGGGGTGTGCGAAGTGACCTGTATTCAGTTCTGACTGGGCCCGATTCAGGGGACAGTGTTTCAGTGTGTTGATTCGGATCACTGTCCCAATCTGATTCGGCCAAATCCAAATCTGAAGGTTCCATTCCAATTTGGAGAATCAGCGATTCAGACAGATACAGCTTTAAACGTTTTTTCTACATAGCTTGAGGTACTAGGCGCGGCCTGTGAATGCTGGGGCAGATAGAGCGTCCCACAGGAGTGTGTGGGGAGGGGGGGTGAGCCTGCATGCTCAGTGGCAGACCTGGAAGTAGACCAGAAGTACTTTCGGGTCTGAAAATGAGCGCTTGGGAAACCCTGCGTGTGCCTCTGCCCCCCAGCTCAGCAATCGCCCACTGAGGGACCCTGGGTGCCCACCTCCCTAGACCCAGGAGGCACCAGTTGCCAGGGGGGTGTCCATGGTGGACCTGGAAGTGCTTCTGGTCCACTTCCAGGGCCGCCACCGAGCACTCTGGGGACCCCCCTCCACGCTCCCGTGGGATGCTCCATCTGCCCCAGCACCTCGGCATTTGCAAGTCACCTGGTACCTTGAGGTACGCAGAAAAAACATAAAACTGTGTCTATGTCCGAATCATCAAATCTCTCCAGATCGATTCATAGGGTTCTGATTCGATTCAGAGAGATTAATGGGGCTCCAGATTTTGATTCTGATTCAGAGATTCAGCCGGTGAATTGGGTCGGATCTCCGCTGAATTGAATCGGCAACTGAAGCTTTGTACAGCCCTACTAACTACATGGAGATTTCAAGCCAGGGACCTAGGTGATGCTGTCAGTGTCACAGGCCTCCAAACCTCACACTGAAGATTTCTGACCAGGCTTTGTTTGCTTAAGATACTTTAGCATTTTGATTTTTCCACTTGATTACAAAGTCATTAAGAAATATTGCATCTTGCTGTTGTGGTGTGGGGTAGAAAATGTTGAGGAAGGAATGATTTTTTTTTAATAGCCAGTTCTTTACATGGATGTAAAGTACACTCCCATGGTGGCTGCTAAATGTAACAAACAACAACCCTTGCTGTAGTGGGTGGAAACAAACTTGAGCAAAATCCAGTTGCTTAAAGATGCTCTCAGTGTTGCCACAAGTGATAGGTTTTCCTTGCAATCCAGTAGTGGACATGTGAATTTCTGGTAAGCTAAGTATATTCTTCAGACAGCCTTTTTTCTGCTGTCAGCCCTTCCATTTGTAAAGCAAATGATGGCAATGCTGAACCATTTGATTCTTACAGTGTAGACTAAATGGTTTATGTTAAATTACCAGCTAGGCTTCTT